TAAATCAAATCAAATCAAATCAAATTTAATATTTCAACACACTCCCATAATCTAAGTTGTCGAACATCCTCAAAAATAGTCAATCTGAACTATTCCTAATTTCTTTCTCAAATTCAGAAATTTGTCAATCTTCAATCTTTTGGTGAAAATGTCGGCCAACTGTGCTACACTTAAGTAATGTCTTACTTCAAGTTCACCTTGATTTACCTTTTCCCTCAAGAAGTGAAACATTGCTTCAATATGTTTACTTCTTCTATGCAGAACTGGATTCTTTGCCAAATTTATGGCTGACTTGTTGTCGATTTGTAATACAAGAGGTTTCTTCACTTCAACCTTCATTTCTTCAAATACAGATCTGATCCAAATTGCTTGACATGCAACATAGGATCCTGCTATATATTCAACTTCACAAGATGATAATGCCACCACAGGTTATTTCTTCGAACACCATGAGATTGGGGCACCAAATACTTGAAAGAAATATCCAGTTGTGCTTCTTCGATCTTTCTTATCTCCACACTAATCAACATCTGAAAAACAATTAACTATTGCTTCTTTATCTTTAAAATCTCGTCGAAATAGTATTTCATAGTTTATCGAACCCTTCAAATATCTCAGCATTCTTCTTGCAGCCTTCATATGTGACAACTCTTGATTCACTCATATATCTGCTTACTAATCCTACAGTGAAACCTATATCAGGTCGACTGTTGCACACATACCTCAGAGATCCCACAATTTGCTCGAACAAAGTTACATCGACTTTGTCTTCCTCTCCATTCTTCTCCAATTTTACATTTGGTTCGACAGGTGAGGATGCAGGATTCGAATCATCCATTCTGAATCTCTTGAGTATTTCTTTGACATACTTCTTTTGATGTAGCACCATACATTGCTTCGACACTTGAAATTCCATACCTAAGAAATAAGATAATTTTCCCAGATCAAACATTTCAAATTCCTCCATCACCGGCTCTTTGAACTTCGACAAGTTCTCCAAGCTATTTCCAGTCACTAGCAAGTTATCGACATATAAGCATATGATTGTTGTATCTTGTGCTACAACCTGAACATAAACACCAAACTCAAATTTGCATTTGACAAATCCCAATTCGAATAAGTATGAGTCGGTCTTCTTGTTCCATGCCCTAGGTGCCTGCTTGAGGCCATAAAGCGCTTTGTGCGACTTATATACTTTACTCACTTCCTTCTGAATCACAAACCCTGGAGGTTGTGTGACATGGACTTCTTCGTCTAAAGGACCATTCAAAAATGCTAGTTTCACATCTAAATGAAATGTTGACCAGCCTTGGTTGCATACCAATGTTACCATTAGTAGAACAGTCTCCAATCTTGCTACTGGAGCAAATACTTTAGAGTAGTCAAGTCATTCTCTTTGAAGAAACTCTCGAGCTACTAATCTTGCTTTATGTCTTGCTATCGAGCCATTAGAATTATGTTTCAACTTGAATACCCACTTTACTTCGATAGCTTTTGTACGTGCTGGCAATTCGACTAACTCCCATGTGTTTTTTCTTTCGATTGCCTATAACTCTTCGACCATAGTTAACTTCCAATGTTTAGTATTCAAAGCTTCGCTATAATTAATTGGTTCATCACCTGTAAGTAAAGCAAAATGAACTAATTCTCCATCTAGTGTGACTTCATCATCACCCGCCACTTCAAAATCACGAAGTCTTGTTGGAAGAACTTTATTTCTATGAGGTCTTTGACTTGTTTTAGCCACAGTCTCTTCGACTGTGTCGGGAATGTTAGCAAATGCTTCTTCTTCGACTTCGAATGGATTCTCAACAATTCCTTCGACCTCTACTTCATCAGTTTCTTCATTGACATCAAAGTCCATCAATGGCTTGTTAATTGAATTGCTAGAATTCCAATCCCAGGTAGAATTTTCATTAATCACAATATCTCAACTCAACACAATCTTCTCATTAACTGGATTGAATAGTCTGTATGCACCTGTTTTATGATATCCTACCAGAATCATAAGTTCACTCTTGTCATCAAGCTTCCTTCTTCTTGCATCAGGAACATGCTTGTAATACATAGAGCCAAACACCTTCAAATGACTCACTGATGGTCGTTTTCCATCCCATTCTTTTTTAGGAACTTAGTTCTTTAATATCTTGGTATGACGCCTATTCAAAATATAAACTGCAATCGAAACAACTTCATCTCATAAATACTTTAGAAAATTCTTTTGCTTCAGCATGCATCTCGCCATATCTAATATGGTTTTGTTTCTTCTTTCAGCAATTCCATTATGTTGAGGTGTATAAGGAGCAGTTACCTCATGATCAACACCATGTTCTACACATAAATCTTCAAACATCTTGGATGTGTATTCGCCACTTCCATCTGTTCGCAGAACTTTGATCTTCTTCTCACTCTGGTTTTTGATAAGTATCTTGAATCTCTTAAAGATTTCTAATACTTTTCCCTTTTGGTTGATCACATAGATCCACAACTTTCGACTAAACTCATCGCAAACGAAACAAAATATCTATTTCCACCAATTGTATGTTCTTCTAATAGACCACATACATCTGAATATACCACTTCGAGTATGCAAGATGGTCTCATTGGCATAGTCGAAACAAAATAATGTTTTGCTTTCCTACTAAACAACCTTGACATAGTTTTTCAGGCATCTCAAGACTTGGAATTCCAGTAACCATATCTTGAGTAATCAGTTGATTGAGTGACTGAAAATTCAAATGTCCAAACCTCAAATACCACAACCAACTATCCTTGTGATCAACAACAGTTTTCAAATATTAAACTTCAGTCAAACTGATCATAGTCTTAAATGTCTTGTTCTTCGAAAATAGAGATTTTAAGACCAAATTGTTCTTGGTATCGAACAATTTCAAAACTCCATCTTTCATGACAACTGAGAAACCTTTTTCGACTAGTTATCCAACACTTAGCAAGTTGCACTTTATTCCAGATATATAAAGCACATCTTTAATCATAACTTTCCCTCCATTACTCATTTGAAAGACTATATTTCTAGTACCTTCTGCTTACAACAAACTATTATCAGCAAGTTTTATCTTGATCTTCTTCGACTCGTCAAAATTTTCCAACCACTCCTTTCTACTAGTCATGTGGTTCGAGGAGCCTGAGTCGAGAAACCAGATTTTGGATTCGACATGGTTATCTGCAACTGGAGCCATAACCACCACACCACCTTCAAAATCATCTGAATCTTGGCGTGCAAGGTTCGCTCCTTCGTCCTTGCTTGTCGATCCCTTGTCTTTTCTGTACCAACAATTCTTGGCTGCGTGACTCCACTTTTCATAGTTATAGCATTGCACACCTTTTTTATCTTCTTTGCCCTCCCGATAGTTTCCTCCTCGTCCTTTAGAGAATTCAGAAGCTCCATCTTTGACCTGATGTTTGTAAGGTTTCGACCAAGACTTGTTGCCTTGAGTCTTGTCGAACTTGCCTTTGAATTTGTTGGAACCACCACCCTTTTCCCATGACTGAGCTTGCAGAGCCTGTATCGAGTCTAGCACTCTTTTCCTTTCGACAATCCTCATCTCATGCGCCTCCAACGAACCAACCAAATCTTCCACTTTAGTGGTTTCAAGATTGTTGGATTCTTAAATAGCTTCGATAACGTGATTAAAGTGAGAGGTCAACGTTCTCATTACCTTCTCAACTATCATCTTATCAGTTATGGTTTCACCACAACCCTTCATGAGATGGACGAATTTTTTAACCTTCGACACATATTCTACAACTTTTTCATCTTCTCCCATCGATAACAACTCATGTTGTCGATGCAAGATTTGTAACTTGACAACCTTGACTTTCTCACCTCTTTCATAATACTTCACTAGAATATCCCATGCCTCCTTCGTCGTTTCAACATGAGAGATTATGTCGAAATTAGCAGCATCGACCGCCATCTTAATGCAATAAACAGCCTTGCAATCTTTCTTCTTGACTTCGTTGTGGGCTTTTTCTGTTCTTCGATTGCATTTGCAGCCAACGCAGGAACGTCGTCGATAACCACTTCTAGGGTTTCATGTAAGTCGAATAAGGATTGCATCTGTTTTTTCCATCCGATCCAATTCTTGTTGTCAAGCATTGGAAGAGAATTTGGAATGCCCTTATAACTAGCCATCTTCGTAGCGGTTGATTCACTTGCCCTAGAAACACGATCTCTAACGTGAAATTCTTGAAAACTCGATCAAGAACAACAATTGGAAGCCCTGGATACCAATTTTTAGTGCGTGAGACACTTTCAGTGAGGAGAGAAAGAAAGAATAATAAAAGAAATAAAGATTTATATTATTGAATTATACAAATACTGATACAGACTAGGACTATTTATATATAACCCTAATTGAACTTGAGTCTACACAACTTGGATTATATTTAAATATTAAATCTAATCAAATCAAATCAAATATAATATTTCAACAATTTTTACTATTTTATAATAAAAATATGATAAATATATAATTTTCTCATATATATATATATATATATATATATATATATATATATATATATATATATATATATATATATATATATATATATATATATATATATATATATATATATATATATTATTTTTTCTTATTTTTACTTCTTAAACAGTATTTAAATATATTTATTATATTTTTATTAAAAAAATAATGAAAATCACTCTTAAAAAATTGTATCTAAGATTTATCTTATAATACAAATTCATCCAAACAATACTGATTAGAGTAAAAATTAAAATTTAATAATTTTGCTTCAAATTATAAATAAAATGAATAATGTTAGACCATATTTTATATGGTTATTTCTTTATTTATTTTTAAATATTTTTCTTCACATTCACATACGTCTAACTAATATTGGTAATTTTTCGGTTTTTATTTCACATCATTTTGTTGTAGTATAAAATCCACTATATCTCTCTTTCTCCTTATAAACATACTCAGCTCTGTTTTTCTTCTCCACATTCTCTCACTATGATCCCTTACCATACCCTTGAAGAATCAAAACATGCACTTAGTAGAAACCTCACTTTTGCTGAGACACTTTGGTTCAATTACTCAGCCAAAAAATCTGACTTTGTTCTTCATTGCCACAACATTCTATTCTTGTGCTTGTTTTACTCTATAGCCCCCATTCCATTTGCATTGATTGAGCTAAGTGGATACAAGAAGTTTAACAAATACAAGATTCAACCTTATGTGAAAAGAACATTCTTGGAAATGTTCATGTGTTACAAATATGTTATGAAAACATTTATCTTTGCGGTTGGTCCTGTTCAGATTGTTTCTTATCCTACTATCAAGGTATGCAATTCTAATTTATATATTTGTTTTAGACACTGCAAAATTAACGAACTATTAACTTAATTATTAACCTTTCACATATTTGAGTTTAATAACAATTTTAAACCTCTTATTTTAGTCAATTTACAATAATAGTCTTTTTATTTCAAATTTAAATAAGAGTTAAATATGATTTTAGTCCTCATAAATATCTCATATTTAACTTTTAGATCTCTAAAAATTTCATTCAAATAATAATTTTTCTAAAATTTTAATTTTAAGTTTTAGTTTCTCATGTCAATATTATCGTTAATTCAGTCGTTAAATAAAAATTTATCATTAAAACCGTTGTTAATTTTATCATTAAATTGTAAAAATCGTTGTTAAATTGTAAGTAAAATAAAAAATTAAAATTAAAATTTTTAAGAGAATCATTTTTAAAAAAAATTAGAGGGATTCAAAATTAAATATGAAATATTTGTGTGAAACTGAAAAGATATTTAACCTTTGGAATAATTTTTTTTTCTCCTTTATACTTTTTTTACCTAAATCGGATGACGTGTTTAATTTTGAACAATGTATTACTTATAAAACATGACAAATTACCTTGTATATATCTATATGTTATTAGAGGTTGAAATAGGTCAGACCGATTACAGAGGTCTACGGCCTAACTTATATAGGCTCAGATTATTGTCAAATCTACATAGATTTAGATTAGGCTTAAGTTTTTTTTAATTTAGTTAAAAATATTAGACCTCAGATTATGAAAAAAGCTTTTTAAATTTAATAGACCGATTTATATAAATAAATATAAATAATTTTTTATATTCATATGTTATATTTTGTACTTTGAATCAAAATACATAATTAAAATTTAGTTATCTCGAAGAATTTATGAAAATAAGATAAAAACACCTCATGAACAATGTTACAAGTTGTTTTCATAAATTTTCTTAAATAAATAGTGTCACAAAATTTATGCTAATCGGTAAGTTAAAATAAATCAATGCAAATAAATTTTTAGTCTCATTGATTTTTTAGTTTGTTAGTCTATTTAAATATTATTTAAATTGCTTATTTATATATGTCTAAAATAATAAGTTTTTATGTAGGTTAACAGGCTAACCAGGATTTAGAAAATGTCAGTCTCAGGTCTAAAAATAAATCTATTACAGACTATAAACTAGACTTAAGTTTAAATTTTTTTTTGACAGACTAGACTTAAACTTGATAAAGCGTAGCTCGATCCAATCTATTACCACCCTTATATGTCATCAATTTTAGATGAAAAAATATTTTAAAAAAATTAAACTGTTTGAATTTAAAATAGATAAATTAATTATTTTATAATAATAAAATAATATATTAAAAAAGATGTGATAACCATCCAAGTAAAAATCTAGAGAGTATAAAATACAAGAAGAACATTAACCAACAATAAATACATTGAAAACTACACCAATAACTAAGATAAACTCCAACGCTGGTTTTTCATATTGGTTTGGCAGTTTGGCATTGAAATTGTCAACAAAAAAGTTGTTCCAGCTCGTGAACGGTGCAAATATAATCAACGGTTCTTCATTTTTTTTTTATTATTAAAATAATCAATCGTGGGATCCAATAACAATTTTAAATCAAATAAAATTTAGTATGAATAAAATATTAATATATAAAGTAAAATTGTGGGACCCAATATAAATTCTTTAAAATTGCACCATTGAAATGAAAAATAGAGTGAGTTGCTTCAAGATGATGTGGCTTAATAAATCCTACAAAGAACTGAAATATGAGTAACACCATTAGAGATGCTCTTACTTTATCACATAAAAAACATGTCATGAAAACTACAACAAATCAAGCAAAGCATGTCCGAGAAAATCTATAGATAAAAACCCAAGGAGCGTGTCCAACAAAACTGGAATCATAACCATTAAAGAATTGTATCTACTAGACTACTACTATTAGTTAAGACAAATGTGAATGAAATAAAATAGAAAAATGAAAATTTGTAAATATTCCTAAATTTTTTAGTATATATTTAAGTGGGAATAAAATCACTCTCGTTTTAATTTAGTTTTTCATCTATAAACATCAAAGAGTTATACATATTTATTACGATGATTCTATTTATCAATAGTCTCTTTTCATAATTCACATGATTTTATTTCTAAGTGAGAAGGTAAGAATTTTTATTCCTATAAAAATTTTACATTTAAAAAATAAAAATAAAATTATAAATAATTATCAGAATATTAATTATAAATATGTATAGTGATAGTTAATTAAGGTTTCGAAATGAATCATCTAACATTTACTCACATGTGAATTCATATTCAATTAATTAATTAATTATTAAATTAAAATTTAAAATTTTATTTGACCACTTAATCAATTAAAGCTTTAATTTATTAAATAACTAATATAATTAAAAATATACATATTCATATAATAATAATTATAAAAACATAATAATTAAATAATATTGAATTATAAAATATTCTAACAACTCTATCACATTCGGTATTAGACATCTGAAATTTGTAGGATAAAAATTATTTTTATTTATTCCAATATCATATTAATAAATGTGGTTAAATCTAATAAAAACATACAAAATCGATTAGTAGAATAAATAAGAATTTTACTCACTTATATATATATATATATATATATATATATATATATATATATATATATATATATATATATATATATATATATATATATATATATATATATATATATATATATATATATATATATATATATATATATATATATATATATATATATATATATATATATATATATATATATATATATATATATATATATTTATTTATTTATTTATTTATTTATTTATTTATTTATTTATTTATTTATTTATTTATTTTGCTAGACAGCCAGCCACACATAGTTTTGTTTTTGAGAAAATAATAATTGATTTGCGCAGAAACACAAGTTGGTAGGCCATAATTTCTGATCCTGGGATTGATGTGATATTCATGACAAATACGTACATTATTATTTATTATTTTGTCTCTCAAATTATAATACGTACATTATTATTTATTATTCTGTCTACCAAATTAAATAGACGTACATTATTATTTATTATTCTGTCTCCCAAATTATAAATAACTAGTCTCTAATCCGTGTAATGCACGGATATAAAATAAATATAAATATTGTTAATATATAATTATAACAATAATAACTTTGTAATAAATTAATTTAAAATTATTTAAGATTTTCAAAATGTCTATAAACAACATAAATATCATTAAAAAATAATATATTATGTAAAAAAAATGTAAGTGATAATGCTATGGACGATCTTTAAAGAAAAAAATATAATATATTTTATGATTGAAAGATAAATAATACACAATAAATTAAATCAAATAATATTTTTATAAAAAATATATAAAATTATATGTTATATTTATGGAACAAAATAATATGTTATATTCATGTAAAAGGTTTGAATATATACCAGTTGATGGGATCAGTTAAAATTTTATTAAGTAACGGTTTTTGTTTTTGTTGAAACAATAAAGTGAACAAGACAATTATAGAAAAATTTAAATGAGATTATGAAAATCGACTTTATTGATATTTGAATCATGCAAATTCGAATCAAAAGAGTCCATTAAAAAAAAAGAAGGTAGAATGAGATTATGGAAATTGATTTTGTTGGCAACCACACCTAGTTTTGTTTTTGACAAAATAATAATTGATTTGCCAAACACATGTGGGTAGGCCATTATTTTTTATTCTAGGGTTGATGTGATTTTTGACAAATATCAAACACATGTGGGTAGGTCATTATTTCTGATTCTAGAGTTGATGTGATATTTCTGACAAATACGTACATTTAATGTACGGATATAGAATAAGTATAAATATTGTTAATATATAATTATAACAATATAATAATTTTGTAATAAATTTATTTAAAATTATTTAAGATTTTGAAAATGTCCATAAACATTATAAATATCATCAGAAAATAATATATTCTGTAAAAAAAATGTAAGTGATAATGTTATGGACGATTTTAAAAGAAAAAACATATAATATATTTTATGATTGAAAGATAAATGATACACAATAAATTAAATCAAATAATATTTTTATAAAAAATATATAAAGTTATATGTTATATTTATGGAACAAAATAATATGTTATATTTATGTAAAAGGTTTGAATATATACCCGTTGATGGGATCGGTTAAAATTTTATAAGTAGCGGTTTTTGTTTTTGTTGAAATAACAAAGTGAACGAGACAATTATAGAAAAATTTAAATGATATTAGAAAATCGACTTTATTGATATTTGAATATGCAAATTCGGATTAAAAGAGTCCATGAAAAAAGGTAGAATAAGATTATGGAAACCGGTTTTGTTGGTATTCGAATAATGTAAATCTGGATCAAAGGAGCCCATAAAAAATAGTAGAATTTTCAAATGAAAAAATTAGTATGAAAACATGAAAATACTTACTTCAATATCTTATCGTACTTAGTCAGAATGAATTGTCAAAGTCCACAAGTTATGAGTTGAGCAGCTGTTGAAGGTGAAGTGGAGGAGGTACTTACAAGACACTCTAATGTTAAAGTGAGGTTCAGAGTTTAATGCAAGTAAAAGAGTATGAGAGTGTGAATGTTTCAATACCTGACATTCTCAAGTGAAAGAGTATTTATAGTCCCAACGTTGGGTCAAGGTCTCCAGCGTTGGGCCACGATGAGGTTCAATAATAAAGATTGTCAAGGCTTACGTGTGTATGGAGTCCAGCACATGACCTCTCCCTCGTCAACTACTCCGAGAAAGCAGGAGTTAGACTCGTTATTCTCAAATGGCAGGATGATGACGATGATATGGACACGTGGGCTACGTTCCCCAACGGACACGTGAAGAGTTGCCCAACGATCTCCAACTTGGACTGCTTGCCTTTAGGCCTTATACAAAGGTGTGGATTGGGCCTCCCCAACGATGGGGCAAGTGTTGGCTCAG